TGGTTATTTGGAGATGGAGCAGGAGATTTGAAGATTGTTGCCTAAAATGAAAGTTCAGTCTAATGTGCACGACATATATTTGTTCTCCTGTACTATGTGTGAAAATTGCAAAGTTCCGAGGTCTCTGTGCAAATGAAAAAAAATTTAGTGGCTCACTGTTACACGCAACAGATAGAAAACTCGCACTGCGTGTGATAGCCCCCTTGATACAAACGCTCAGAGTGGCTGTGATACTGTCCTGCCTTACAAGAAAGTCATACCTTTTTTAATATCTATTATAAAAGAAAGCAAAAATCTCTACAGTAATTTGTCTCAAAAACTGTCTGCTTCTATCACCTATATCCTCTGTTTAGGTAAAGCATATATGTCTCTTTGAAGAAGAGACAATGATTTGCCTCCCATCAAAATTTAACTCATATGAGGCAACATTACAGTTCCATATTCTCAGAGCACATCTACAATGCATCTCCTGGGAGACAGCAGACAAAATGCATTCTCCCCACGCCCAGCATCCACAAGATAATGCTGCGATCATTGAGTGGGCACAGAAATAGGCATTAAAATCACGTATGCACCAGTACAACAGAATGTTATGGCTTGTGAATGTATTTCTGAAAAGAAGCGAGGTAAAGGAGCTTCAAGCAACAGCAGTAACAGCCTGACCTTCATCTATAAGTTTTTACAAAATCTTCCAGAGATCCTGTATTTATGCTACAGGAGCATGATTTGTAGTTCACTGCATTTTCAACTATGACCACTGAAGGGTCAAGGATGTAACATGTAAACCAACAGAGCTGAAAAAATTTGCAAATATGCCAAACGTTCAGAGGACGACTACGTTTCGCCCTGTCCTGGACCGCAGTCAAGTTACAACGTACTCTACAACACTTCGCTCAAGTGTGTGGGTTATTTGTGACCTCTTTCTCGCTAACGAGCAAAACAAGGATTGGGAACGACCATTCAGCTTTAGTAAGCCTATCAACCCTCAGTCATGTATTTTCAGTCACTGGGTTTCCTCCTAAGCCACCCCCCTCGGAAATTAACCCGAGGAATTATCTTCATAATGACGATAATTCATCGGGTGATTATCATATTGATCTTCCTATTATTCATAGAGATGTGACAATAAGTGAAAATCGATAGATGGTTGAGTAGAATTTTGTTGTGGGATGAGTGTTGGAACCGCTGCTGCTGCTGCTGCTGCTGCTGCTGTTGTTGTTGCTGCTGCTGTTGTTGGTGCTGCTGCTGCTGTTTATGTTGTTGTTGTTGCTGCTGCTGCTGCTGCTGTTGCTGCTTATGTTGCTGCTTTATTTCTACTGTTGTTGCTGATGTTCCTACTCTTACTTCTGCTCCTGGCAGTACTGCTGTTCCCGTTGCTGTTGTTGCTGCTGTTGCTTCTTACCGCTACTTTTGTTGTTTTTCTTGCTGATAATGCTTTTGCTCCTGTTGTTGATGGTACGACTGCTGTTGTTGCTGCTGCTGCTATTGTTGCTGCTGTTACTGCTACTGCAGGTGGTACTACTGCTAATGTTGTTGTTTTTGTTACTGTTTCTGTTGGTAATTCTGCAGCTGCATTTGTTGGTGGTGCTGCTGCCGATGCTGCAATTACCGCTGTTGTTGCTTCTGCTGTTCCTGGTCCTGGTACTGTTTTTTTAACTGTTGTAGCTGCTGCTGCTGCTGCTTCTGCCGTTGTTTTTCTTGATTTTGCTGCTGATTTTACTGCTTTCGCTGCTCATGAATGGATGGGCGAAACGTCTTCTTCTTGAAAATCGCCGCTTTTGTTGTCATTGCTGTTGCTGCTGTTGTTGTTTCTGTTGTTTCTGCTGCTACTGTTACTTTTCTTAGTGCTGCTGCTCTTTCTGTTGCTGCTGCTGCTCCTGTTACCGCTGCTGCTGCTGCTTTTATTACTTCTGCTGCTGCTTCTGTTAATGCTGACGTAACTTCTGCATTGTCTGTTCTGCTGCTGTTGTTACTGTTACTGTTTTTGTTGTTACTATTGTTGTTCCTCTTGCTGTTGTTGCTGCAAAAAAACAATGATCTTGCCAACTGCTTTCGCCATCTGATTGCATCCTGTTAATTCCTGGTGCTCGGAATGCAATTAATGTACCAGCGTTATTGACTGGGCTGCTAATTACACTAGGGATGTTGTGTACGGTAAGACTCGTCTCCGCTACCCAGGGCCTCGAAGCGAGGTGCCTGGGTGCCTGTGAGGGGCTGCTGGTTCAGTGAACTGGAACCTAACCTCTATGGCACCCAGTCCTCAGGTGCTCTGTGACCCCCTACGTGCTTAGCACTTCCCCAAGAATATAATAATAATAATAATAATAATAATAATAATAATAATAATAATAATAATAATAATAATAATCTCGCTACTTGTAGTCCCCTGTGTCTCTATCCTGTATCTTTCATCCCCATTTCTTCCTAAGTCTCTCTCCCTCTCTCTCTCTCACTCACTCACTCACACACACACACACACACACACACACACACACACCACACACACACACACACACACACACACACACACACGAACACACACACACACACACACACACACACACACACACACACACACACACACACACACACACACACACACACACCCCACACAACACACACACACACTCATTCTTTCCACTCATTTATTCTAATTTATTATCAAATTTGAGTATGCATAATACATTTTTCCTCATTATAATTTATCAGTTATTGAAGAATTATGGCTGAATTGCCCTTGAATTATAAATTTCAAAATCTAATGAATATTTCCGCTCCTAATTGAGGCTGAGGAATATCTTATGTGTCCACTAATGGCTCATTAGAGTATAACTGATAATTACTCAGCACCTCATTATATATATACAAATCACTAATAACTGTTGTTATTCGTGACTTGTATATGTATAGTAAAGTATTGCCATTGATTCCTTATTATTGTAAATATATAATTAATAGTACATTGACGAGTTAGTTGGGTTTAAAATCTATCGACTGAACGAGGTCGTTGATGTTACGTGGAACCTGTTCACTATCAGTGAAAAATATTTTAATATCTATAACAGAGATTAAACTTTCAAAGTATATACACTGAGGCATATACATCTCATTATATCTGATCATGCAACATTTTCATGATTATTCATATGGTATATGAATATTCTGCTTTGAGCGAAAGAATTTAAGGAACTGAATAGTTGTTCGTGAAAGGGTTTGGTCATGTAGAAAGGATGGAGCAACGATCTAAAAACAGTATATGAGTGGATGACTCTATTAAATATGTCTTTATACTACACGAACTTCTATTATGAAAAGAAAGGTTGGGGACGCGGTTCAGGTCACTCTAAACTGGATAAAACAAATCTGAAATGTTTATTGAGTTTTATTTGCTCTCATGCTTTGCAGTATCTATTTTTTATGCTTTATATAACGCAGTAAACACGTGTTTGGTCATTCAGTGGTAAAAGTAGTTGAGGCTCGACCCTCCGTCCAATAATCGTGAGTCATGTCAGGACACGGTTAGGAACCGATCAAAGGCCTATCACTACGTTGTTAGGAACCTGTCAGCATTTTTCTAAGTAATTTTTCAAGATCCTGTCAATAACTTGTCAGGATCCTGTGAGTAACCAGTAACGACCTAGTAAGAACCTGTCAGCACCTTTTCAGGATACTGTCATACCCCTACCAGGAACTTGTCAAAAAACCAGAGGGGATCTCCCAGAACCCTCTCAGTACGTTGTCAGGATCCTGTCATTAGCCTGTCTGAAGCCAGGCAGGTCCCTAGAAGGACTGTCGAAATGCTCTCCTAGAAGGACTGTCAAAATGCTGTCAGGAGACTGCCAGCACTCTGCTAGTAACGTGTTCTGAGGCACAGAGAGCACTCACTCCTCGTGAGAACATGGGCTGGTGGAACTACAAGCCTATCCAAACTTTTCCAACGTTAGGATTTTAACTATTTTTAATGCGAATTTTTCTCTACTTTTATTTATATTTTAAAGCCTGCTTGTGTGCTGGGTTTTTCTTTGTACTGGGAAAAATGTTACTTGTATTTTTTTTAGGTGCAAAGAGTGTGAGTTTTGGTGGAATATGTGAGGCTGCGAGAGGGTGGGGAAAAACGTGTGGTACGTGTAGGTGGTGTGGGGGGGGGGGTTTATTCATTTTGAGAGTTTAAAATTTCAAAAATATTTTTTTTTATTTCTGTAATGGAGAGACGGACAGAGACAGACTATCAGAGACAGAAAACCGAGACAGAGAAGCAGTAAAAAGAGACAAGACGAGAGAAAGGAGAGCAAGAATACTTGAAAAAGTCAACATGAGACAAAAAATGATAGACAACAAAAGGGGAAAATAAAAAAGTAAAAACTAATTCTTGTAAGAAAGAAACGAGAGGAAGCTGGACATGATGCTGAGGATCTGGGCTTGAATCCCGTGGCATCAGCCGCATCTTACTAGACCAGAGAAGATGTTCGAACACAGTTACTGATTTTTTTTATACGTTAGTGGAATTTTGCAAGATGTACGGCTACAGTGACTGATTTTTTGCAAGTCTCAAAAATCTCGATAGACCCACGCAGATATACGCCACAAATTATTGATTTTTTGTACTCAGCGGGCTCTTGCAAGATCGACCAAAATTATTGCTTCTTTCAACAAAAGAACATTTTTTACCTGAAAGTGTAATTGTTTAAGCGATTGACGTTACTCTGCACGAAAATGGATGATTACATCAGTTGCTGAAATTGTCGTAGTATTTTTTTTTTTTTTTTTAAATGTTACAAAACTACATGTTTTAGAAGATGAAGCTCATGACGGCGTTTTGTTGACATGGCCTTTAAAAAGAAGCATTTGTTTGTAATACAACAACGATATATTTTATCTGCAAAAGGGGAAAATTTTCCATTAGGTTTGGTTGCTGATAAGCGACAAGAGAGACTGGACAAGGGGCTTACCTCCCCATTTTCTGGCAGAGATGGGGAAACCTCCCCCCGGCCCCGACCCACAGCATACCCGTGACAGCCAGGAGGTCGCCCTTTGCGTCCCAGACTCTCGTTCCTAAACCCTGTTGTCGCCTGGCTTGGAGACCTGGTTGGATGGATCCCGGTGGGGCGAGGTAGAGCCCCCAGTCCCCCTTCTCTGAGCGGGTGGGACTCTGAATAGCCTTACGAGTGGGGGGAAAGGGAGGGGGGAAAGCCAGCCGTGAATCACGGAGGATGAAGTTGGTTAAAATATGTTGTCAAAAACCCAGATTTGGGAGAAACTACCGAACCCCAAAACGCGAATAAAGGGAAGTGTGTGATATTTCAGCATGGTCAAAGGGTGAAGGTGTCTTCAACCGAGGTGGAAAAATCCAGAACTTTTTACTGTGAGTATTCAGTGTTGAGAGTCGCGCCCCTTTACCCGGAGGTCGGGGATCGACTCCCCGGATTGGAAAAGAAAAATTGTGTTGTATTTCCCACCCAAAATGGTTTCTTTCCCCCCAAAGAGAGCAAATGGACGAGAGATCGGTCCTCCTCTCTTTTCAATTTTTTAAAATCATTAATGTGTTGCAAATTCCCTAAAAGCATCAAAATTTTTTCGCTAAATATCCCCGTAAACTTTTTAAATTCTTACTAACGTTAGATTAAAATCAGTTAAATTTTATTACATTCAATAGCATCTCTGTTTTCAAAGTTTATGAATTTATTCATGAATGTATTTTTTTTTAGGGGGGGGTGTAACCTCGAATTTAAGTGTCAGTTTAATATTTAAATTATCTGCGATATTTTTATTTTTGGGGGTTAATTCTCTGTTTTGTTCGAGGAAATTAAAAATTATTTTAAGTTTGCGTTTAAGTTGATAGGAATTTCTTGTTATGGTGACATAAACAGTCATGGTGATAAATACAGTCATGGTGATAAATACAGTCATGGTGATAAATACAGTCATGGTGATAAATACAGTCATGGTGACAAAAGCAGTCATGGAGATATGCAGTCATGATGAGATGACGTAGACATTGTGAAGTAAACACATGGTGACGTAAACACATGGTGACAAACACATGGTGACGTAAGCGTAATTAAGTGGGCATAAATAGTCATGGAGACAAACACGCAGCCATGGTGAAGTATACACAGTCATGGCGAAATAAACACAATTCTTATGATACAAACACACACATCCATGATAACATAAACACAGTGTCATAGTGACATAAACACATAGTTAAGGTGACACACACACACAGAGTCATGGTGACATAAACAGTCATACTGACACAAACACAGTCATGGTGACACAAACAGTCATGGTGACACAAACACAGTCATGGTGACACAAACACAGTCATGGTGACACAAACACAGTCATGGTAACATAAACAGTCATGGTGACATAAACACAGTCATGATGAGACAAACACAGTCATGGTGACACAAACACAGTCATGGTGACACAAACACAGTCATGGTGACACAAAACAGTCATGGTGACACAAACACAGTCATGGTAACATAAACAGTCATGGTGACACAAACACAGTCATGGTGAGACAAACACAGTCATGGTGACACAAACACAGTCATGGTGAGACAAACACAGTCATGGTGACACAAACACATTCATGGTGACACAAACACAGTCATGGTGACACAAACACAGTCATGGTGACACAAACACAGTCATGGTGAGACAAACACAGTCATGGTGACACAAACACAGTCATGGTGAGACAAACACAGTCATGGTGACACAAACACATTCATGGTGACACAAACACAGTCATGGTGACACAAACACAGTCATGGTGACACAAACACAGTCATGGTGACACAAACACAGTCATGGTAACATAAACACAAGTCACCGTGATCCTGACTGAGGCCACAAGTGTCACGCAGAGCTGGTTGAAAGTTCTACAGAAGACATCACTCCTGAACTTACTGTCATAAGAGACCAGAGCTATGAAAATTATTTTGTATATATTTATTTTGCGCTCCTTGTTATACATTTTCATATTTTTTTTAATAAATGAATAATATTTTGGAGGAAAATGCGCTGGAAAAAATAAACATTGTAGGTTGAAGACAGTGAACTCCGACAAGGGAGACGAGAGAATGTATGTACCCGGCTATATTGTCGGCCCCATAAAAATAATCTGCGTTCCTTCTACAATTTAGAAGTGAAAATAAGTGAAGTGTGTATTGAAACTAATGCTAGAAAACATTCTAAGCGAAGAATAACTAAAGAAAGCGTAATTAAACACTTGTCTATGCTCAATAATAGCCATCATGGGGACAGAAACTCAGACGATTAATTGGTCTGTATATTTCGACCCCCCTGCTCAAGAGGACCCCCAGCAGGGGTTCGAAATATAAAGATCAGTTATTTGTTTTTGTTTGTGTGTCCATGTGGGCTATTATTGAGCATTGTAAAGAAAGTTCCCTAATACTTAATATGTAAGTTAAGAAACTCCATGAGCGTTATATTCCTACGCATAAAGAGTGATTGTCTAACACCTGACAAAAAATATATGTCAATGTTGAATTATCTACACAGTATCTATCTCAGTAAATCATACAAAAAATTAAATATTTATTAAGTAATATTAAACATTATTAATTACATTAAGCATTATCAAGTAAATGTTTGCGTTAAACGACAAAAGAAATATATTTAAATGTCGTGAATATAAATGTTACCTTTACGCTTTCCAAAAATGTTTAAATTTTATTCAGTGAACATTTTTTTTTTAATGACCTGAAGCCTACCACAAACTGCGATGCGATGAGAAACTGATGTAAACTCTAATATACATCGAGAGCTGCATGACCCTTGGGGGTTTACAGCTTAGTTATAATTACGATGATAACAATAATCTATTACACATCACAATACATCAAGTTCCTTATACAGTAGGTAACACCCAACACGTAGGTACACACGTCAGACCAGATGTTAGAGTGAGTGTTGTAGTCACTCCACAAGCACTAACTACACTACCGCGCTACAAACAAACATCTACGGTACTAGGGCATTCAGATGGTAGCTACCGCTCGCGCAACAATCATGCAGACTAACTTCCGGCTTTTAGGTTCTAACTTGTAGATCCTCGGGAAAAAATTTGGTTACTTAGGCAGTGGACAAGCTTTGGTGATACAGTTTAAAAAGGCGGTGTTGCCTCGCTCAGCACCGAGAAGACAGCCTTATGCTAGGGATGTGTAGAGTTCAAAATATGTTTGTGATGGTATCCCCGGCGTACCTCTTCAGCACCGATAATCTTCAATAAGATTATTTTTCATTTTTGGGAATAAAAATAAACGAGAGAGACCCACAGCGCATGGGTAATGGGTAGAAATTACCTCTGCTCTAATATAAAAACGAGAGCATCTCCAATTCCTTGGAATAAGAGCCCTTCACTAGCAACAAGGCACACCCACTAGTATCACCTGAAGACGCACTTAAAGAGGACGAATTATTTTTTTTAGAGAAATATATACAATTTTGTGCCTTAAAGTAGTTAGGCAAGAAGTGGAATATTTAGATACTATTTTTTTACTAAGCTTAAAAAAGTTATTTTGTTTTAAGTTGTAAATTGCGTATGTTCTCAATGACTGGCCTATTTATACGCATCTATCTGTGATTGGAAGGGTTGAGTCTCAGCTCCTGGTCACGCCTTTGCATTAATATCCGCTTGGCAGATTTAATATCTCGTAAGCCTTGTCATATGTATATTTGAAGAACTTACCTCGACTACTTTGTTTCGGTCAGGTCATTCAACTTTCTAAACATCGTCAGGTTGACGAAATTCTTTCTGGCATGATTGAGGTTCACCAGTATCTTTAACTTCCAAATGTGCCTCATGTACCTGTGTCCTGTGTGTATGTGTGTGTGTGTGTGTGTGTGTGTGTGTGTGTGTGTGTGTGTGTGTGTGTGTGTGTGTGTGTGTGTTTATGTGTGCACCAAGAGGAGTAAGTTACGCTCCCACATTCGCTCTCCCCCCCCTGAAAAAAAAAAACAAAATAAAATAGAGTACTTTCGTCTCCTCGTTCCACATCAAGAGAGGTAGTTGGCTCTTACTGGCCGGATGAAGGAAGGAGCGAAAGGGAATGACAACTCAAAATTATGGCTTATCTTCCAACCTCTTGTCTGATTGGTATCGTGTTAAGTCATTTGTGATTCAGTCATGGTTCTGGACTGACTGCAATGTCCTCGAGAATTTCATTCTCAAATTTTAGGTTGGTCGAGAGTTGTTGCAGCTCCGGTGTTGTAATTTTTATATTTCGTCTTGTGAAACGAGAGCTGAGATGATGAAGCCACGAGACTTAACCATCTTTTTAGATTATGGTGCCTGAGCGGTTTATTGCACGCACGCGGACGCGCGCACACACACACACACACACACACACACACACACAACACAACACACACTACACACACTAACACACACACACACACACACAGACACACACACACACACACACACACACACACACACACACACACACACATAACATAGAGCCCGAATAGCTCAGTCGGTAGAGCATTAGGCTTTTAACCTAAGGGTCCAGGGTTCGAGTCCCTGTTCGGGCGAATAGTTTTTAGTCGGCGCCATGAGCTATGACTCGACTCCTGCAGCCATAACTAGGTGAGTACACACACACACACACACGCACACACTTCCAGAACTCAGGTATTCTACTTTTCATCTATAAAACTCAAGCCTGGATAACGGGATTCTCTCATGATTAATGATTATTACTTTCCACATACTCCAAAAGTAGGTCAAATCTACTCACTCCCTCTACTACACTCACACAGTCCTGCTAGATGCTCCAGTTCCTATCACTAGCTACCACTCACATCCAGGTTCCATAACTTCCTCAGACATCCTTACATTATCATCCATCCACCACAGATTAACTTACCCTCTTAACCGATCTTTCTCCATTCCATCTGCTGTAACACTTTCTGACTTATGCTTTTCGTGCCACCACACAATCATCTGATTCCTTCAAACCATATTATTTGTGAAACATTTATACCATAAGACATGTCTACCTCCTCCAGCCTCCTCCTCGCTGCAACGACCTCCTCGCTGCAACGACCTCCTCGCTGCAACGACTTAACCTCACACCAACACTAAATCATTGACTGTTCCTACTTTGATACTCTCCTCTT